AAGCGATACATTTCGAAAATGCACCTTGTATATCGATTTTCGTGATGTCAACTTTAATAACGATTTTTAAAGGGTTTTTCGTTATTACCTTGTTTTCTTTATCTCCTTCCATTAGCTTTGACATAAGGTTTTATTGTAAATGAATGAATTTTTTTGATATGTTGATCAGATCATTTCTCCGGAAACTTATCATATTTAGTGTTTTTTTTTGTTATTTTCAATCTTTCCTCGTCGAAGGACCCCTCATGTTGTTGTGGTAAACATACGAATAGCAATCCATTTTTTCGTGTCGCTGGGAAAGGTGCTGGCCACCGACATACTCGAAGAGAAAAGTAATCTTTTTCAAAAACTTTGGGGCTGTCTTTGAATGTTTGGAGCGTTTTGTAATGAAATTTTAGAGGTGTTCATGTTTTCACATTCAAATAAATAAATACTGCACAACATCAGTAGCCTTCAAAAGTTTGCTGCCGATCATTTCCAAAGCCACAAAAGAAAAAATTGCTGTACAGAATCTAGAGCGGAATAAGGCTTCACGACAGAAAAATATCATATTGTTTTTTGATTCATTTTTAAAAGTAACATTTTGCTACCGTTTTGAGCATGAATCTCCCCCGGTAGGCTGTTTTCAATGAAAGCAATTTTCTCATACTTGTCGAAGCTATTCCTAATTCTTTTATTCTGGTACTTTTCTATAACTCCAACCCTATTTTTTCATTATGTGGTTTCAGAATTCCAAAGAAAAATGTGCTAAGTCTTTGCTTCGACCGTCCTCGTTATCTTCCCTTTCGCGATTTTTTAGCTTAGCAATTTTGATTTCATTTGCAATGGTTTCTCTAGCACTTCTGCTAACCAAACAATCATTTTCCACTGAAAATGCTTACAAAATCTACTTCTGGTTTTCAAATGTTATCGTCTCAATATTGGACTGTACGGGCTACATTACTTCAAGTTCTGTTAGTCTTCAATCTGTGGATTTCTGATAACTGCCTAATGCTCTCATTCCCTGATGATCTGGCTTTTTTTCAACTGATCTTTTTTATTTTGATTGTTACTTTTATTTTCATTCAGTTAGTTCTCCACATAGCTGTTGTTGTTTGAGATTCAAGTCACCTAAGGTCATCGTGAAACACTTGGACATCTAATAAATGCTAACTTTCGCGTTTTCTTCACTGTTGTCCTTTACGCGACTGCTTTTCACACTTCTGCTATTTTCTTTTTTCGATGTAATATTCGGCATGTTTTTTTTCTTTCAGACTGTGGAATGCTTGCCACCACTGACGGATATGCTCAGCTGAACGTTGTCAAACAGGAAGCCACGATCACGATTCCCAGTCGAAATACTGAGGTCGATTCGGTACAATTTGCCCCAAGGTAAGCTTTTACTTAGAGGTCTTCGCTTTTATTCTGATTTTTTTCTTTACTCCGGTCTTGTTTTTAATGATCTTTTTCGTATTTCTATACATT